TGTAGGGGTCGGATTTCTCCCCTATGAGATCGATATAACGACGAGATTAACTCTGCAGCGTCCTGACGAAATCGGATCGAGTCTTCAAGGGCCAGTCTGAATCTAGGCCCAAAATGACATTAAATCTATTAACAAAATGGGTTTAGTAGATTAATGAGCCTAATTGTAATACATTGCTTAATGGGCCATATCCATTTATTAGCTAGCCCACTTTAATTAGAAGTATTATATATCGGTTATTGTACTCACCCAGAAAAGAGATCGATTCATTTGTAAACAGAGCTTAAGCAAAAACAGCAATAAAACATATCTTCGACTTTTGCTTGTGATTCATACTCAAAAGAACCAGTTCTCCTTTCAACCCTTGACAAATTCAACCGTGTAGGATCCGCTGTCCACAGTTTGGTGCCGTCTAAGGGGAGTTGAGATCTTCTTACTCGAAGGAATCACTCGGCAAGCAACCTAAGCACGATGACTRACCAGCGCGKYGACACACYTGGCGACAAAGACRCAGCAGCAAACCTCGTGAGAGACATCGCCAGGAGCGACAACACCGGTGACAACAGCGTCGGTAGCAGCAGCGAAGACTCTTCGGCGTCATCGCCAGACAACATGACTAGCAGCGGCAGCAGCAACAAAGACTCCTCGGCGTCGCAGCCAGACAACACGGCTACCAGGAGCAGCCAGGCAGGCGACGACGCTGTCGACGTCACCGCGATGAAGGACATGCTGAAGACGCTTCTCAAGAAGTCAGCGGAGCAGGAGGACAAACTGAAGGTTCTCACGACAGCAAGAAAGGCGCGCAAGAAGGACGGAGCACGACGATCACTTGGGTGGTTCAAGCTGTACGGCCTCAGCTTCTTGATGCCACGCACGGTACGGAGAACCAGAAGTGACATACCACCGCCACCGTCGCTGCGAGCGGCGAATCCAACTCCAAAATGAACCAACGGAACAACAAGCACATGACCAGCTGCTTCAGGAGAGATCGCGCAGGAACGCCAAACTGCTTCACGAAGGATTGCACAAGAACGTCAGGCTCCTTCGGGAAGGATTGCGCAGGAACGCCAAGCTGCTTCAGGAAGGATCGTACAGGAACGCCAAGCTGCTTCACGAAGGATCGCGGAGGAACACCAAGCTGCTTCAGGAGGGATCGCGCAGATGGTCGGCACGAACGACAACCCCCAACGCACCTCAGGGAAACGCAGCGCACCCGCAGGGAGAGACCGATCCCAGGCTCGTCGAAACAGCACGGACATCAAACGCGACCAAGATCTCGCTGACGAAGAAGGAGATATCCACTCGATAAAGAAGTTCGAGCTAGAACAGGGACGCAGTGCCCTCTTCCAAACTCAGAACGACGAGATGGCCAAGATGCAAGCACCGCTAGAGCGCGCCACTTCCGATTTAAGGGTCGCGCAGTCCCAGATGCACAGGTTTAACACCCAAGACATCCAAAGCAACGCGAGATATCTCAAAAGTCTCGAGCACAGTTTTGCTAGTATTTGGGAAAGTTTTGGAAGAGAGATTACGAGCACTAATGAGCGCATTATAGAGCTTACAACGTGCCTTAACGTCACTGCAATCAAAGCTCATCAAGCCGAGACAACGTTGAACAGAATAACCAACTACCGACACGT